GAGAACATTATTAATGACTTCCACTTCTTTTGTTTGAAGTGCACATAATTCATTCACTTTACTGTAGACAGTTATCCAAACAAGGTATCCTAAGCTTTTACTTAAGATGAAGCAAGAAGGAAAACATGTTCCAGTATTTTTATTGCCTATTTCCTTATAAATAAATCTCATTTTGACTTAGAGATAAATCACCTAGGATTGCAGCCTTCTAAGTAAGGTCACAGAACTATAATTTGCTCATTTATAAGTTTGATTTAAAGTCCCAGGACTAGGAAAAAAGTTTGTTTCATATTATTATTATCATTATGGATCATCGCACAGTCAGCCAGATGTTCAGACTGGATTTGGCATTTTGTCTATGTATCGAGTCCTTACCAAGGACCTGGGATAGGCAGATGTGGATGTTTGATGGTATTACAGATATTGTCGCAAGATGGAAGCAGTTCCTAGTAAGGCCACCTTTTGCAATTGACTAATGGCAAATTGGTCAATGCCAATGGTGTTCAAGTGGTGTTCCAGTTGTTTTGGGATTGCACCCAAGATGCCTATTACTATTGGTACTACCCTTGCTTGCTTTTGCCACAGTCTTTCTATTTCTATTTGTAGGTTTTTGTATTTTGTTATCTTCTCCAGTTCTTTCTCGTCTATTCTGCTGTCTCCAGGCACTGCCACGTCCACTATCCAGACTTTTTTGTCTTTCTTATCGACAATTGTTAAGTCCGGAGTGTTGTTGTTGTTGTTGTTATTATTAGGATTAGGATTATTAGGATTAGGATTATTAGGATTATTATTATTATATGGAAAGGCAAAAAGGAAGCTCCAGCAGCATTTCACTTAGTAGTAGCTAAGGGTGGGTTCTCCCAACCACCATCAGTTGGAATTGGCCCTGGAGGAAAGAGGCGAACCATCATTACAGTGTGCTGCCCAACACCAGTCCTCTGAGCTGATCAAGAAGGAAACCATAGTTGATGATACTGAAAGCCACAGAGAAGTCAACTAGGGCAAGGATGGATGCACAACCTCCATCCCTCCATCTCAAAGCATGACCAATGCTGTTTCTATTCTATCCCTAGGTCTGAATCCCAACTGAAAGGGATCTAGATTATCTGTTCCTCCAAGGTTTTCTGAGACTATTGCACAACCATCTTCTCAATCAACTTCCCCCCAAAGGGGAGACGAGATAGTGGATGAAAACTGTCCAGTATAGTAAGGCTTCTTGAAGAGGGAGAAACCAAAGCCTCATTAAGAGGCAAAGAAGCAACCCCTCACTCAAGGAAGTGCTAAACCACTGCTAGAACCCACTCACATGACACAGCCCACCGGGCCACTTTAACCAACCAGGAAGGACATGGATCTAAAGAGCAGCTAGCTGGGCTCACAATCCTAAGGACCTCGTCCACTTCTACAGGTCCAGTAGGTTCATACCATTCCCAGATAACAGGCCAAGGTTCTTCCCAGAGCTTCTCCATCTGATCTGCAACAAACCAAGTGTTGAATTGAGAATGAATCTGAGCGATTTTATTGACAGTGCTGGGAAGAGTTTTCCACACACCCCTATAAAATGTTTTCTGAGCCATCCTTACCCAGGAAAGCTTGGGTCACCCAAAATAGGGCCACAAGATGACTTCTGTGGAAACAATAAGAGGAGTAATGATCTTCCATCCTCATTGTCAATACAATATATATATGATCAATATATCGCCATGGTGGTGCTGTGCCAAAGAAGAAAGTTAGTAACATACTATGGAATCTGAGTAGATTTCTCTTCAGCATCTCTTAACAGAGCTATCAGATTAGGGATGCAAAAAGCTAGACATACATTCTTAATGCTCTCTATTGATCATCAGGATTTTTACAGCCCAGATCTTGCTACAGAAGCAAGAAAACAATGAAATTTAGTCTAAAAGATAGATGTTAAGATGCAGATCATTTTATTGATAGAATTTAAAATGCCTCCTCTTTCTCCAATATAATTTCTGTTGTCTCTCCTTTTGTTCATCTGCAAACTGCAAACTGCAGATTTTTAGGGCCAAGTTAGCACAGCAGAATAAGTTAAAATGTGGTTTGCATCTTTGTGGATAATAATAATAATAATAATAATAATAATAATAATAATAATAATAATAATAATAATAATAATACCAGAAAAATAATGACAATGAATCATGCCCTTCATCCATGCAGTGACATTGACAGACTTTAACTATCAAGGGAAATAAGTGGGCATGAAATGCTGCAAGTACATCAGATGGTTGAAGAAGAAAAAATGGCTTTGGAAGAACATCTGAAGGACAGTGATGAAGATGCACTGAAATTAGTATATCAGGAAGGCTTACTGCCTACTGGAGAGACCAAACTGGCCTACAAGAAAGACCAAATGAAGAACAGAATAGAGGCATGGGAAGACAAAACATTACACAGCGAGTACATTGAAAAAAATAGCTGGGAAAGCAGATAATAACAAGATCTAGCAATGGCTAAGAGCAGGAATATTGAAGAAAGAGGCCAAGGGACTAATTCTGATTGCACAAGACCAAGCCTTAAGGACAAATGCATATAAAGTCAAAATTGAGAAGACGGCAACAGACAGTAAGTGCTGCCTATGCAAAGAAGCTGAAGAAACAGTGGACCACCTGGTAAGCTGCTGCAAGAAGATCGCACAGACTAACTTCAAGCAACAGCATGACAAAGTAGCAACAATGGTGCATTGGAAGATCTGAAAGAAATATCATTTGCCTGTAAGCAAAAACTGGTGGGATCATAAAATAGAGAAAGTCATAAAAAATGATAAAATTAAACTGCTCTGGGATTCAGAATTCAAACAGACAAGCACTTGCAACATAACACCCCAGACTTAACAATTGTCAATAAGAAAGACAAAAAAGTCTGGATAGACGAGAAAGAACTGGAGAAGATAACAAAATACAAAGACCTACAAATAGAAATAGAAAGACTGTGGCAAAAGCAAGCAAGGGTATACCAATAGTAATAGGCTCCTTGGGTGCAATCCCAAAACAACTGGAGCACCACTTGAACACCATTGGCACTGACAAATTTGCCATTAGTCAATTGCAACAGGCTGCCTTACTAGGAACTGCTTCCATCCTGCGACGATATCTGTAATATCATCAAACATCCATATCTGCCTATCCCAGGTCCTTGGTAAGGACTCGATAGGTAGACAAAAATGCCAAATCCAGTCTGAACATCTGGCTGACTATGCAATGATCAATAATAATAATGATGATGATAATTATGATGATAATAATAAAGTTGGAAGGGATCTTGGAGGTCATCTAGTCTAAACCCCTGCTCAGGCAGGAAATTCTATACCATTTCAGATAAATGGCTGTCCAGTGTCTTCTTAAAAACTTCCAGTGTTGGAGCATTCACAACTTCTGGAGGCAGGTTGTTCCACTGGTTAATTATTCTAACTGTCAGGAAGTTTCACCTTAATTTTAGATTGCTTCTCTCCTTGATTAGTTTCCATCCGTTGCTTCTTGTCCTGCCTTCAGGTGCTTTGGAGAATAGCTTGATCCCCTCTTCTTTGTGGCAGCCACTGAGATATTGGAACACTGCTATCATGTCCCCCCTCGTCCTTCTCTTTATTAAACTAGACATACCCAATTCCTGCAACCGTTCCTTATATGTTTTAGCCTCAAGTCCCCTAATCAACTTTGTTGTTCTTCTCTGTATTCTTTCTAAAGTCTCAATGTCTTTCTAGTTACTGTTGTTTATTAACTATGGTTTGTACTTTGCTGGAATATGGCAACCTTGCCATTTGCAATTCATTCAATTCAAATCAGACTGTGGTTTAACACATTGTGTGGACCCAAAGATGCTTTTTCAAGAGGCAACTGGACTTTCTTGTTTTTCTTTGAAGACATTTCGATTCTCATTCAAGATGAGAATCTTGGATGAGAAGTGAAATGTCTTCAAAGAAAAACAAGAAAGTCCAGTTTATTTATTTATTTATTTTTAAAATTTATAAGCCACCCCACTCCCGAAAGACTCTGGGCGGCTAACAATAAAAAACACATAAAACATAACAAAACAACAATACAAAAACAATCATCCAGGGGTAAGGTTTTATAAACCCCAGGCCTGCCGGAAAAGCCAGGTCTTAAGTAGCTTACGGAAGACCAACAGGGTGGGAGCGGTCCTAATCTCTGGGGGGAGCTGATTCCAAAGCGTGGGCGCCATCACAGAGAAGGCCCTCCTCCACAGCCCCGCCAAATGGCACTGCTTGGCCGACAGGGCCTGAAGGAGGCCCAGCCTGTGGGATCTAACCGGACGTAGGGAATTATGAGGTAGTAGGCAGTCTCGCAAATAGCCTGGCCCTGAGCCATAGAGGGCTTTAAAGGTAATGACCAACACCTTGAATTGGACCCGGAGACCAATAGGCAACCAGTGCAGCTCACGGAGGATAGGTGTAACGTGGGTGTATCGAGGAGCACCCACTATCACTCGCGCGGCTGCATTCTGGACCAACTGTAGTCTCCGAATACTTTTCAAGGGTAGCCCCATGTACAGCACGTTGCAGTAGTCCAAACGTGAGGTGACAAGGGCGTGAGTGACTATAAGGAGAGCCTCCAGGTCCAGGTAGGGTCGCAACTGGTGCAACAGGCGAACTTGTGCAAAGGTCCTCCCAGCCACAGCCATCAATTGATGTTCCAAATTCAGCTGTGGATCAAGGAGGACACCCAAGTTGCGAACCCGCTCCGAAGGGGGTATATTTTCCCCCGCAAGAGTCAACACTGGACAGTCGACATGATCCTTGGGAGGCAACATCCAAAGCCACTCGGTCTTGTCAGGATTGAGCAGTTGCCTCTTGAAAAAGCACCTTTGGGACAACATGACCTGGTTGACAGAATCTCTACAGACATTGTGTGGACATTGCTTTTATGTATGCAGTTAGAAGGAATGAATCCAAATAACAGGAAAACTACAGGTGGGAGAATCATGAATGAGGACAATACAACTTCATCAGAGAGTTTAATTTTAAAAACCACTTGGAAAAGATTTGTCAGATTTTGGCTAAAATTTATTTCATTTATAGCCTGCAAACTGGGAAAGAAAGAAAATATTAAAGACAATAAGAGATTGGCAGGAATGTTGGAGAGAGAGAAAAACAGTGTTTGATCATTGGGTATTTGTCCTTCATAAAGTTGCTAGTTAATTCCATCGGTATTGCAGCATCGTTCAAACAGAGAACATAACTTGTGGTCCAGATATAACAACAAAATGACATTACATTTATTCTCTACATTTCCATCACTAAACTTTCTTAATCTAAATAATTTGACCTAATTATGAGCAACAAGGAGGCTATAACTGATATATTTAAAAACTGCTGTTTGTTAAAATATGATACACTTTCTTCACAAAGATCTCCATTGAGCATGTTAATTAAATACTTAGCCATCCTCAACTATTCCACTTTAGAAATAAAATTAAATTACTAAGCTGTTCTATGATTTGACTCTTGTATTAGTTTGGCTGATATGACTGCTTTCCACATTTCAGAGAGATTAATACAGCTAAACTTGAATTTAATGGACCGATTGGGGAGAGAAGGGTACATTTGTTACTCCCAATGCCTGTTAAATACAAAAGTACATCTTCACAGTCATTGACATCACTTACATAATGACATCATTATGCAAATGATATAAATTGTTGTATCATAAAATTAAGATAAAATTAGTGTAAATTTAACTCTCTTATACAAACAACTATATGCAATCAACGTGTCTGTTATTTCAGAGGAGCTGTCCAAATAGAAATTTGGTCCACTGTATCCAAAGTCTACCGAATATAGGTCTGTTAAATCAGGATTTCATTCCAATATATATGCAGCAAGCTCAGTTGTGGTTTTCAAAGTATAGTAAAATAAAAAAGAAGTAGAAAATAATTTAATTCAGCAACAGCAATAAGAAAAAGCTATGTTTCCTGGGTAACCATGACTGATGAATCTGCTAGATTAGATTTTTGAAGTTCCTTTTGACTGGCTTGGAGCAAATTGTATAGCTGAGAAAAAGAACTTGCAGAATTGCTCTGCATGTTGGAAATATCCTTGCTCCTTGGTTGTGCACAATCATGCACTGCCTGCTGTAACTGCAGCTGCATGGGAAAGGAAATGGCTGATCCTCCAAGGTTTAGAGTGAACCAGGGCCGAAATATTTTATCACAGATGACCTATTGGAAAAGAAAAAAAAACAGAGTCTTGTACTGAAGAATCACATGAGATCACATGAATCACAAGTTCAGTCCTGTTGCACTTTGAAATTTATGGATGTATATATATATTTTATTTATTAAGGCTTCTGTGCTGTTAAATTCCCATTGGCTCTATATGGCTCACAGAGCACCACAATAAGGACTATAAAATAAAAATCTGACACATAAACAGCACACAGACCATGGCAGGGCCATTCTGTAATGAGATCTTGGTTCAGAGCAGTTTTTATACAAGTGACCCACTCTGCTTGGGCAGAGAAAAATCTATGCACTGTGTGGCAAGAGAAACAACCAGCAGCCAGCCCCCCAAGGATTTTGGTTGTGGCTCCCAGCCCCATTGGAGGCTAAATGTGATCAGTCTCAGGGGTTTTTGCTTTACTGGGAAGGTGTGGAGATTTAAGGAACTTATTAACTCCCCTTCTCCTAGACCAAAAAGTTCAAAATCTGTTGGCTCCACCTACTTCTATGTTGATGTTATGATGCCCCCTGATGAGACCCAAAGACCCAAAATTTTACTCCCAGGCAGGAAAGTTCCCCACCCCATTTCTCACTAAATAAATCAATGCAAACTTTCATCTGGGCAAAAGGATGGACTTCTGGCATCTAAATAAATTGTATTGCTCTGCACTGGAGGCAGGTTATGCTTTAGGTTTTTCTTCCCTTCTGGCTGCTGACAAATTTCCCCACTGCTTTATTTATCATTTATTTTAAAAGACTTATATAGTTGCCCCTATTGTAACTCTAACCCTGGCTGATGCACAAAACAGGAAAAAACAGTACTCCACACAAGCATAGGAATAAAAACTCAATAAAAATTTATTCTGCCTACTCCTCTCTTGGGTAAACACTTAATACAAACTCAAGAAATTACTCTGAGGAAAACACAGAAGTAGTTTCCAATAAAATGAGTAAGAACATGATTAGATTAATATATTTAACCTTTACATCGATTGTAAAATGTGAGACAGTGAGAGCCATTTTGACCATCCCCATTCAGAGCAACACCTCCTTATGAAGTGTATCCATTCACAGAAGAAAATATATAGTATAAGAACTGGAAGTAAGAATAAGTGATGTGATAATAAAGTCCTCTAGCTCTTTTGTAACTGAACATTAAGGGCATAAATTGCTTTTGCTTTTCCTATGCAAATACTGTGCATAGTCATAGTAGTAGTAGCCCATTTTTACCACATACACATAGTTTGACTCCTTATTGAGAGTGGAGCTATATGTTGTTATTGTGGAAAGGCTACTAACATCACTCCTGTGGCAAATTCTTCTCCTTCCATATTGTAACATCTGGGACAGTGTTTCTCAACCTTGGCAGCTTTAAGATATGTGGACTACAACTCCTAGAATTCCTCAGCCAGCATAGAATTCTGGGAGTTGAAATCCACATATCTTAAAGCTGTCAAGGTTGAGAAACACTGCTTTAGAACAACTTGCCAATTATACATTATCTCACTATGAAATGCCTAGCTCTGTGTTCATCATCATTAGCTACCACTGGCACTGTGGTGGAGGGATGCTACATCAGATGTTGACAAGACAGATGTTATTGCAGAGATTAGAATAGTAACAGAACCTGTTAATTGTTTTCCCTAAAAAGTATGACAAGATATGACACTGCATGATCTGTCTGTGATCTGTCTGGGCACATTTATAGCTATATCTTGAAGTCACTACTTGGGACTTCATTCACCTAGTGATTGTGCTGATGTGTGTGAACATGCCCAGATGCCGGTCATGGATACATCATTTTAATCAGTGCAGTAATTAGGATTTTAAAGCAGAGGCATGCAGCCACCTAAATAAAAATATTTCTACTTAGCCACTCACTTGAAGGTTAGTATTGGCTCTTTCTGCCCCACATTTTCCATTCTTCAGATCACATTTGGAAAAGCAATCGAAAAAAACACAGTCTTCATCTCCTGAGCAGTTTTGTTCGAGGATGTCTCTCATTTTAGGTTCAAAAAAGGCCATATCTACGTCAATGGCAACCACCTGCAATCAGAGCAATGCATTTAGGTTGATTTAGTCCAAGCCAAAACTCCATGCAATTTTAGGGCATTTAGAGTTCTGAGAGAAAACAGTGCAGAATAAATTCAAGAGAAAATGAGAAATTACACATGGGACCCATGTTGCTCACTGCCTCTGAAACTCAAACTGACTGCTCTGTAAAAGAAAACATAAGTTTTCCTTGGAAAGCATGGAGAAAACGTGAGCCATGTAATTATTACAGTTCTTTAAGGACACCCTGAGCCTCTGCAGCTGGGGAGAAGCAACTAACAAATGTGCAGGATTTCCCCACCTGAATTTGTATAATGACATCCAAGTGCATTTGCTGTCATTTTGTCATAACTTACTGCAAATGCCACCGAAAACCATGTTTTTCTTTTATTTCATCAATGAAATAAAAGTACCTTTAGATACTTTTGCAAAAGGACGGACATATCCAAGAAAGTGAGCCTTTCTCAGTGATAGAAAACTTATTTTCCATCCAGAGATTCTTGGGTAAATTTTTTTTGATATTGCCCCACTATTTTCCAGAGCTGGATGAAACCCCAGAGGTATTTCTTTATTTAATGGATATACAGTAAATGCAATGGTCAGAATGAGTCAAAAGTTGCCAATGAACTCTGGAGGTTTACTCCATTCAATGAGCTTCAGTACTGAAAGAAACAAAATATTTTGATTACAGCGAATCCTCGACTTACTACCACAACTGAGCCCAAAATTTCTGTTGCTAAATGAGCCATTTGTTTTGCCTCATTTTAGAACTTTTTTTTGCCACAGTTGTTAAGGGAATCGCTGCTGTTGTTAAGTTAGTAACACCGTTATTAGGTGACTCAGGCTTCCCCATTGACTTTGCTTGCCAGAAGGTCACAAAAGATGATCACAAAACCCTGGGACACAGCAGCTGTTATAAATATGAGTCAATTGCCAAGCATCTGAATTTTGATCATGTGACCATGGGGATGCTGCAATGGTCATGTGAAAAATGGTCATAAGTAACATTTTTCAGTGCCATTGTAACTTTGAATGATCACTGAATGAATTGTTGTAAGACGAGGACTACCTGTACTTCAAAGTGTGTTGGGCAGAGGGTCAGAATTGGAAGCCGAATACCGATATGGCTGCACATCTGAATCCAATGGGACTTACTTGAGGGTCTGAAGGATGCTCTCGGTTATGGACCTAATAATAATGTATAGGACACAACCTTGTTTATACAATTACTCAGTTTGAATCTAGACAGTGATGAATCTAGTTCAGGGGTCTTCAAACCTGGTCCTTTTCTAACTTGTGGACTTCAGCTCCCAGAATCCCTCAGCCAGTGTGCCTGGCTGAGGAATTCTGGGAGTTGAAGTCCACAAGTCATAAAAGGGCCAAGTTTGAAGACCCCTGACCTTGCTAGTTTCATACTAGGTTCTAGATTAGAGAATTCTCAAGCTAATTTGAATTTCTTATCCTCAATCCAAAGTATTGCTCTTATACTGGATTTGCATGTTCTTCTTAAGTCATGGTTTGATTAAACATGATTTGCTTGTGAGTTATAACAGACTAACCTATAAAATGGAATCACAGCTTCTATTGGCTGATTTCATGAAAAAACTTAACGGCTCATACAAAAATCTATCCTTGATTATTCATGTCAGCATTTACAATCGGTGAGAGTAATTTATAAGCCAATGTCAGTGGAGAGGAGAAAGTATTAATTTCTCACTGTTCTGACACAGAGTTAAGATGCGTTGTAAAGCTGGGTCAGACAGATAAACTCAATAGAAATGATTGAAAAACAGATAAATATTTATTCAGAGAAATACTTGCATTTACGTTGGTTGCTTCTTCTGTATATTACTCATCTGTTCATTCCCATAGGTGAGAAATTAATACTTTCTCCATACCAATTTCTAACGTGGAAATGAGGTCATCTGGGTCCTGTGGTAACTCCATGCTGACTCAGACAAAGACATTCCTAAACTGGCTTGTGTCCAGGAAATCCTGTGATGCCCTTTAGAAACTCCTTCCACTAACCTACTAACATGCTATAGCTGACTAGCTAAAACTACATTACCCATAAGCCAAATCTTAGGAGACAGCACTTAACCCAATAAATGCCAGATATTCTAACATACAGATACATGCTCTAGTCAGGTTTACCACAGTCCAGAAGACTTCTACAGCATAAACTCAGCCCTGCCATAGTTAAAATTAGCAGATTTCCAGGGTAAACCTGTACTTAAAAGTCCTGCTCCCAAGATGTACCCTTTTCTGATACTATTCACTGGCAGCACATGACCCAGGACATCCATGTCAGTCTTTTGTTGGTTTTTTTCCCCTCCCAAAGAAAACTTGCCTATCTCTAACACCAATGAAATCATGAGTTTTAGTCATGGCAGGGGAGGTCACACAAACACATTTATCATTTCAGAGAGTCATGGAATACAGAGTTTGCAGACTATTGCCCTAGAAATTAGCTGATGAGATCATTTAACCAATATGTTCCAACAACATATTGATCCACTTTCTCCACTGATCCAGTTAAGCATGTTGTATGAACAAGGCCAAGATGACGTTAAAAAATAGTAATGGAGATGACTGAGCCTGTTCCAAATATTACTGGTTTCCCAGATTTGTTTATTGTATTTCAATCATTTCTAGCCCTCTTTGTCAGAGGTCCCCAACCTTTTTGGCACCAGAGACCGGTTATGTAGAGAGAGGTTTTTCCACGTACCAGACGGGGCGTGGTTTTGTGTGTTGCCTGCATCCCGGGGATGGGGCTTTGCTTGTTTGTGTGGCCCAGTTGCTGGCATGCCGTGGCCCAGTACCGGTCCACGGACTAGGGGTTGGGGACCCCTGCTCTATGTGATATGCTCTGTGAATTTTTGTCTTTCAATGATCCGTATCAAAATGAAAAAGAAAGACAGCAGATGAAGAAAGCACATCTAAAATCCCATTAGCCTGAGTGACAAGGTGAAAGTCCTGAATTTGAAACTTTCTTCTCATTTTCCTGAACTCCAAGAGAAATTGCACATTCCCGCTCCCTTCCCTTCTTTGAAAACAGCCCTGGGCTTTCCACAGGTTGATGCAGGCACTATCAGGAACATCATTAATTCTTCACATCTCCTCTTATGTTTGCAACTTCTTTTGAGTGTCTCTTTCATCAAGAAACTTCTAATGGAAAACATTTCCGGCTCATTGCCTTTTGTTTCATATATTTTTTGGAATGCAAGTGAGCGGGTCACATTTAGATTGTGGTCTAAATATTATGAGAAGGCTAATCTATAACTCAGAAGCTTCATAGAAATTTCTTTCATATTCAGAAAGCAATTATATGCAGCATTAATAAAATAACCTTTCTCTCCCTTGGTATCATGCGCTGGCCACTTCATTAATTTGTATTAGCAAAACTGGCAGATTGGTCTGGCAGTCCACTCAGGGCAGCATTTGGAACAAAATTACAGGAAGCCCTCAACAAAAACATTAACAGGAATTTGAAACACATTCTAGGCTGACTATTCAAAATGCCAGGCAGATTGTCATATGTTTGTCAGATTCCTCTTCCCCAGTCAAATCCCATGCATTTTCTTCTTATTATTTTTTTATAAATGACTTATTTCTCTTCCCTTTTCCAAATGCCAGCACAGGGATTGCTTTTTTATCTCAGTTATTTCATCCACTGCTTCAGTATCTTTTTGACACCAAGAAATTAATATCAACAATAAATTAAATTGATATGCTCCCCACCTCCCTGTGAGTCAAAGACATTCCTGTTCTCTCTGACATTTCTATAACTTTTCATTTGGTTTAATTTTAACAGAACGGCATTTTTGGTCTCCTGCACTATTAATTATATTTTGCGATTACACCACAGTATTCTTTTGCTTGGATTATATGCACAGAATCATTTAATGTTTTAACTAGAACTGTAACTTGCTTGGAGAACTCCGGTTACTAAATGGAATTGAAAATACTTTTAATACTAATAGGAATAATAATACAAAACTCTTCTGTTTAATGGAGTAATTTGAGTGAGAGGTGTCTGTCACTTCTAAATGTTCACTATGTCCAAAAGTATGTCATTTGTGGTCTACACAGACATGGCCTACATTATTTGCATTATGTCAATATGCAACTGACACAGATTATCTCATTTGCATCAATTTACATGAAGATCTCAATAAAAAAATAATGTCAGTTAGCACAAATGATCTTACATATAATACAAATGAAGTGTTCCATCCAGATCTCTTTGGATGCAAAGACTTGTCAATTATTTCCAAGAGATGAAGCAGAAAGTTTGTCCTTTACATCTGAGGTCTGCAAAGTGGAAATCTGGTTAAGCTGACGTTTTACTGAATTTTCTGGGTTTTTTTTTCCTCCCACCTCCTGCAGTCATTTTGAGCTTGATACCTTAATACCTCTTTTCTAATTTTTGCAATGAACTGCAATTGTAAACATTTCAAAGTTTGGGGGGACTTCATTCTTTTCTTGAAGAAAGACACTATCCTATGATGCATTGCAGCTGCATGTGTGTGGTTTGGATAGATATGCATGATTTACAAGTGAGATGAATACCAACATTATTGCAGCTGAGTCAGCACTGTGTATCTATGATGTTGAGCAATGGCTAACCGTACCGACAGTGGCAGGAGCTAATGTCTTCCAGTCACTTGGAAAGAGTCCTGCATGCATAAAAGGGCATTCTGCAATGATTGTGCTGGATTTGAGTAAACATATAAGTATAATTAATCTAGGAAAAGAAAATCTGTTCACCACTTAATAATTCAGACTGTCTTATGGTCTAAGAAATAGAAAACTGAATTACTCCTAAGCCTTTAAGTCATGTTAGCATTGGACTTTCCAGTGTGGAATTTTACACAGGTAATCAATCCTTGACTTACCATTGTAATTCAGCTCAGAATTACAGTGGTAAATTGCTTCAGAGAAGAATCAAGGCATCATGTGACTTGAGCCAATTTTTCAACATTTTTTTCAATGGTCATGAAGAGAATTAATTTTCCCCAATTAGCATTTTTTTTTGCCAGAAACCGTTAGTAAATTAATAAAGGAGAATATAGCTCAGGATTGAAACGAGCGGGTCTCTGAGCTTGGTTGTTTTCTTGCAGATATTTCATTACCCAAACTAGGTAACATCATCAGTGTTGGTCTCCTGGTTTTGCCTCCAAGATGGCCGTCGGCAAACACCAAACTCCACTGAATTTTCCTGCTTCCTGCTATTTCATTTTCCTTTCTTGGTATGCTGACTGAAAGAGGAGATGTGAACGAAACATTAATGTATGAATGTATAAATCCTGTGTGAGTGTATGAATGGAAGAAAGTATATGGATGAGGCAAAGGAAATTGTACTGCGGACAAGGTATTAATAGATGGAAAGTGTTAAAATGGAGATAAACTAATGGGTATGTAATTGTAGGTGTATTTGCCTGATGGATAGAATGGGAAACAGCCCAAGAAAAGAAGCAATTTAAACTACAGTACATTGCTGGTTTTCCCCATTAATGGATAGGTTGCTAATGTTTGTACAAATGGATCAATGCATGTAGAAACGTGTGTTGTTACAGAACAGATAAATGAGGAGAAAGAAGAGCCAGTTGCCTTCATCCACTCTTGATTTTGACTTCATCCATTTGTGGAATTAACACTATCCATCACTATTATACAGTATAGGCTTCAGCCACTGTCATCTGTAGGCATGTGACTATAACACACATCCCCCAACTGCCACCCAGGCGATACATTTAAGATTTATAATATCTTTGGAAAATGTTGGAGACTGGGATTTCTGTCTCCAAGGAGATGAAATCTACAAGTGAGAACCTTCAATCTTTTTCACCTTCATAATTACCTGCTTCTGGTGTTGGAGCTCCAAGTAATATTACTTACAAAACCAAATCCCTGCCACTTTTGAACAAGTTGACAGATTTTGAATTCTTTAAATATATGTGGAAACATATATAGGTATGATGGGAACCCAAAGTGAGAAAGTTTAATGACTATGTAATGCTGAAAGTGAGCGTGCTTGGTGTGTGCGTGGAGGGGGAAGAAAGTCCAAGTGAAGAGTAAGTGTGGTCAGATATTCAGATAGAAGGCAAGTCTGATCTGTTGCAATCTGAAACAGAAGCCGAGCAACGTTTTTGAATAGCTTCTACTTATTCAAACTATCATTAGTATTTTTGTAAATGACTTATACTATATATTCAAGAACAGGGGTGTCAAACTCAATTTCACTGAGGGCCGCATCAGCATTGCAGTTGCCCTGGGGGGGCGGGTGGGTGTGGCCAGAGTGGATGCAGCCTAATGGATGGGTGTGGATGGAGTGGGTGTGGCCTACTGGGTGGGCGTGGCCAGTTCTACATCATTCGCATCAAGGGGGGCCTGGGCAGGAGTGGGACAGATCTGAGGGTCTCTGGCAGAAGGGAGTGGGACTGGGGCAAGTGCCAAGGCATGGTCCACTGGGGCAAGTGCCAAGATGGCCACCACAAAATTGTACATTGGCTCCCAGCTGGCCTGGGCCAGGACCAAGGCAGTGGGGGCCGTTCTCTCACTGTTTCCAGGATGGCTTCGCGGGCCACATGAAACCACTTTGCGGGCTGCATCCGGCCCCCGGGCCTTGTGTTTGACATGTCTGTTCAAGAAAAAAATGTAGAACAGTATAGGAAAAGACACTCTTACGAATGCAGAATATTAGAACAGCACAAAGGTAAAGGATGGAGTTTTAAATAGCAAAATTTCATTGTCTACTCCAATATATAATGCTGGCAATATTTAGAAAACTGTTGCCTTGCTCTCAACAAAGAGCAAGACTTTTCCTTGTTATGACCTTATTACCCTGATCATAATAAAGGCAGTGTTTATAGGTCAAAGTCTGTCATGCATAAGTCTTCATAACAATCCCCAGTCAACAGGCTGGTGCTCACATCTTTCATTATCTTTCATCATAATAAATTCTATATTTAGTTATGAAAAGCTGGGTCTAACTTACCGTCAGGTCACTTCGGATGGCAAAATTTTCTGGTTTAATATCACAGAGATGAAGGGGATAAGAAAAGTCATCGTCAAAATGATTCACCATTTCCAAGAAGCTGATTGCAATTTGAATTATGGCTTTGGCTTTGTTTTTAATCCCAGAAAGGGAAGCACCAAGAGCATCTTCCACAGAAAAAAGGGTACTGTGCCATGCATGTCCAGCTGTCAGATATTCCACAGCATAAAAGTGGCCACAAGAACCGATAACCCTTAGAACATGTTTACTGATGTCCTGCAAAACACTGAAATAAATGTACTCTTCCTGTTGGAGTAAAGACCACAAACTAGCTAGCTGTGCTTTCCAATGTGGGCCTCTTTTCTTCCACAAAGGCCCCACAGTTTTGTTAGGAAGTTCCAAGCCCAATGTGTTCTTGACTTCCAAAGCAATCATCAGAAGCAGGTCCGTTTCTGAAATTCCCTGTGATTCCATTTCTTCCAAAAAGGCAAGGCCACGGTAGCTAGAGAATATTTCATTTTTTGATTTTAGGATCACAGGGCGGCCTCTCCAGTCAGCTTGAATGACCTTCTTTCCCTGGTCATAATAAAGGCAGCGTTTGTAGGTCAAAGTCTGGGTCACACATAAGTCTTCACAAAGATCCCCAGTCAACATGCCCATCCTGTAGTCAAAACACTGCAGAAAAATGGAAACAAACAACAAGGCTAATGGTAGGAAACTAAAATTTTCCAGGCACTTTGAAAATCATTTATTCTTATCCTGAAAATATAGTTTTCATCCTGTAGGAAGCAAGGCAAACAAGGTGATGCTGAAATAAGCAAGAAAACTATGAAATAACTATAAAAGAAATAAGCATAGAAAGCTATGGTTGCCTCATTTAAGGCTAGTGCTATGATAACAAGCTTTGCCCACAGTATATAATAAATTGTTTCTCATGGTAAATCATAACTGTTGTTTTCTCTCTGTTTCATGGTGATGGCTCAGCTCTAGACCTCTGTAGTTTAGAGCTGATCTCTTCGCTATTCACCATATAGTTAAGAGTTCAAATCCCATAGAGAGAACGAGCTAAAAACCTACTTCTTCAGAAACATACTTTCATCATATTTAAAATTGTCAAAATGTTTGGGTTTTGTGTACATGATGTTGAAAACCAGTGATTAATATATAAATATTAGTAAGACATGAGTGAAAATATGGGCAAGATGCGGCCTTCTTGTTGAACCTCCATTAACTCCAAAGACGTATGTTGCAATCCAACATTCTTCTATCCAGAACAATGGATCCTGGTTACCTAATATTGTGCAATGAAACACTGTGGGATGAAGCTGAAGTCATAAAAGTCAGGGAACACAGCTCTAATTATTTCATTACATTCAATACAAATTTCACATGATAAAAAGTGAATATGAACTACAATTTGTGTTTGTTCCTTACAAAGCACAGCATTCGATCTATTATATGTTACAAAGCCTAGTAAATGCAGAAACCAATGATTAAAAAAAAAAGATTAGATCACAGCACCAGGCTCTGTCTTTACTGTGTTATTAAACTGACTTCACGTCCCTAACAAAAGGAATGGAAGCTGAATATATTTGTGGGGTTTATACATTCCATAATTCATGATTGCAAAGCTTAAAAGGAGATTTAAAGTCTGTAGTTATGTGGTCATTTCAAATGTACAGAAGAAACAAAGAGGATTTCCCTTGCCAGTCCCTTCTTCCACTCATAATTGTTTCCATCCTTCCCTTTCTAAGATAGGCATAGGGAGCCTGTATAACCACATCCATTCAGTCCTTCGAGAAGCGCAGCTGCAAAAGTTTATTCTGGGCACATCTCTGAAGGAGACACTCATTATTAGAAGATGCCAAAAATGAAACAATCAGACAGAAACCTTATACCAACTTCCTTCCTGTTTTTCTCTTACTTTCCTTCTTCCTTTCAGTCAACAACTTCCCACCTACCATTGCATCAGGCTCCTTCAGAAATGCTTACTGCACAAAATGCAAGATAATTTTTCAAACTTCTCCAGGCCATTTCCAGATGGAACTTTCAGTCTGTTGTATTCTTTCCTCAGTTCTTTCACTCTAGCCACGTGCAAAGTTGTATACATCCATCTTAGCTAGGAAAACCTATTTAAGTGTATTTTCCAATGTTTTCAAATTGGAAGACATGACTCCAGATTATTCCAAGAACAAATCCACATACCTCACAACTCTCTAGAGTCAAAGAGGTTAAAAGGTCTAGAAATCCTGTAACCAGACCCAAAGAATGTGAATAATGTAATGCACACATTTTTTTAAAAAAATGGCTTAATAAAGCATAATATAATAAGTGGACATAATATACACATATTAAAACACTTAAAACTTTTTAAAATATCTAAAGTTAAAAAGTTTCATATTTACTTCTGTATCAGGATTTCTTTTTTGCATGCAAGCATTCTAAAATTTTATTTATATAATAACCTTGATTTTTCATGAAGATATACTGTACATTTGTGCAAATAAAACCCTAATGAGACCACACCTGGAATACTGCAACCAATTTTGGTCACCGTACTACAAAAAAAATGTTGAGACCTTGGAAAAAGTTCAGAGAAGAGCAACTAAGATGAACCAAGGCCTGCAGACTAAAACATATGAAGAACGGCTGCAGGACTTGGAATTGGCTAGTCTAAAGAAAAGAAGAAATAGAGGTGACATGATAGCAGTATTTCAGTATTTGAGAGACTGCCACAAAGAAGAGGGGGTCAAATTATTCTCCAAAGCACCAGAGAGCAGGGCAAGAAACAATGGTTGGAAACTAATCAAATTGAGAGAAGCAAAATGGAATTAAGAAGAAAGTTCCTAACAGTAAGGACAATTAACCAATGAAACAGCTGGCCTTCAAAAATTGTGGGCGCTCCATCACTGGAGGTTTTTAAGAAGAGACTGGACAGTCACTTATCTGAGATGGTATAGGTTCTCCTGCTTGAGTGGGGGCTGGACTAGAAGACCTCCAAGGTCCCTTTCGGCTCTATTCTATTCTAAATAGTATTATATTAGTAGGAGTTCTACTAGTAGCTTCCCCAGTATGTATTTAAAGTAAAGTAATCAATAGAAGGTTCTAAAACAACTTTTTCAGCTTTGGGGAAGGTGTGTAAGATTATACTATTAACTGGACAGGAATTCCAGGACTTTAACCCAAACACATTTACTAAAACAACATAATAGTTTTTCCCAAATATTAAATATAAGTAACAAACAAATGCAATAATCTTAAATAACTACTTCAAATTACAAGCAATTAAAATCAGCAAACCTTTTCAGGGATTAATCAGAAATTGCTGAAATTACACTGTTCGGTTGTAAGACAATTTGGTTTCTTCAAAGGCAATAAAACAACTGGCTTAAACCCAAGCATAGCACTGTCTTATCTGGCTTGTGAATAAGCAGTAAATAACTTTCCTCCTTTTGAAATCAGTGCAGAGGCAGGCTCAAGGATAAATGCAAAATGCATCTCTCAAATCAGGCCCAATGGCTTCAGATCCTTTGGGGGCTATAATTCAGCTCTGTGAGAAATGGGAAATATCCCATATCTCAGAAGTATCAAAGTTTCCTAGCTGCTTGTCAGAAAAAAAAATAGTATTGTTGCCAATAGAAGAGAATATTTATAATTCATGGTTGAACTGGGGGTCCTTGGTGCTCTAGATTGTTTTCTTGCAAACGTTTCATTATCCAGCTAGGTAACATCATCAATATTGTTCCATTTCCACAAAATTGGCAAAGCTGCTGCCACAGCATAGTATTTGCTGTAGTTTGTTATGTATCACACAAGGGGCATTTATAGTCATCAATTGGTAGTTAACATAATAGAATAATATCTATTAAAGTTACTTTTCCATTGGATAAAGAAAACAAGAAACAGAGCTTAATCTGTTATTTGACTTTACACCTTAACACCATAGCAGTTCTTAAAATTAGGTAAAAACAACCTCAGATGAACAACACATGCCCTTAACATAATTTTTCCATGTGTAATGGAACAATTGTGAAACATAGCAGATAACATTTGCTTATAAAAATGTTTACAGTGACAAAGGTACATGGTACCGTGATGGCGAACTAATGGCATGTGTGCCACAGGTGGCACACAGAGCCCTCTCTGTGGGCACATGCGCCATCACCCCAGTCCTAGGCCTTCAGCTGGGTTTTATAAAACTTTTTTGCTTTAGGCCTCCGCCTCTGTGTGCAAAAAAAAAAAAAGGTTCAATCAATCAATCAATTTCAACTTCTTGTGGGAAAAAAAAGGTCTCGCAAAGTTGAAATTGATTGATTGAACTTTTTAGTCCCACCCAGTCTGCCGTTACCACTGCAGCCACACCCACCCAATGAGCCACACCCACCCAATGAGCCACACCCACCCAAGGGCCACACCCATCCGGCACCCAACAATACATAAGTGGGTTTTGGGTTGCAGTTTGGGCACTCGGTCTCTAAAAGGTTCCCCATCACTGGTATATAGTCTGGTTACTTGAAGGACCACCTATCTCCTATAACATCTGCCTAGCCAATTCGGTCCTTGGCACACTCCAGGTCCCTTTGATTAAAGAATGTAATCTCTCAGGATCCCAAAAGCACACTTTCTCTTTAGCAATGCCTGCCTCTGGAATGAAGTTTCCCTCAGGTATGGATGGCCTCCAATTCTGCCGTTGTTTAAAAGAGCTGTGAAGACCTGGCTCTTCACCCAGGTCTCTGGCGAGGGAGACTGAACTCCTCCCTCTATTTCATTTGGGCTGTCATGCTTGCCATCTTTTATCTTTTATTGATTTTATTTGTAATTTCTTTGACTGTTGTGAGCTGTCCAGAGTCATTGAGAGTCAGGTGGCATACAAGTTTAATAAATTATTGTTATAACCAATCAAGCAAATCCAATTTAGCATTCAGTTTAACACCCTAGACACCTTGTTTAGGAACAAAATAATTCATTGTGGAAAGAAATGGAAATAATGGAATAACTAGCTAGTTATTTAAGTTCCCTGAAGATGGGCTCCAGCACAAGTCTGAAAGCTCAGAATACAAAACCTCTGGTTCCGGTGACCGATCCAGATTGGATCCTGCAACATTATCCTGGGACACATATTTTCGCCTTCATTCATAATGGAATAACTGTTTGACTTTATCAATATGTTGCTCTATATTATATCATGATATATTATAGATAACACAGAAGAATCTTGCTACTTTTATCACAACAAAGAAATGGAACCAGCTCCTAAAATCTGTCTCCACAGTTGCTAAATTACTCTTTTGCAAAAAAAAAAAAAAAAAATCAGATACATCGCATGAAATAGATTACAGTTGGGAAAAGCAAAATAAATGCATTGAAAGTCTGCCCTTTTATCTAAGTCCAAAGTTGATTTTACATCCCATTAGGAAATGTAAATTCTTGTCTGTTTTGAGTAAGTTTTAGTCAGCTGAGTACTCTGTCTTGTTTAATTGACACTAACAGTTGCCTAGGAGGGAAAAAATGCCATTGTAATGGCAAATGCTTTTCAGGCAAGATACTGTTTTCCTTAATCAGCAGCCTGACTCCTTCCCTTCCTCACCCTTTCTCCTTTCAAAATCCAGGCAAAGCTTCATCAGCATGGACCATAGTACTTGTCTCCTTTCGTGGCAATATATTCACAAGCCTCCTATTCAGAACGTCAAGCGTGTTCGGGAGTTCTTAGCCAGCTCTGCTCAAAAGATTCATTCCTGATCTTATTTGGGTTACCATTTAGCATTGTGAAAAAGTAATCAGTTACATTTTGGCAGACTGGAGTGGAAGGGAAGGACCTGCATACCGTAAAGCAGAGAAAGCAGATAGTAGAGAGCCATTTATTGGAAACCATCTTACTTTTTTTTATTAAGTAGTGCATGCCTTCTATCTGGCAACACATGTCTTTCTTGCTTTTTTTTTTAAAAAAAGGGGGGGAGCAGTAAAAGAAGGGTCCAACTCTTTCACTGCCCACAGGGACAGTGCTGAAAGTAATGAGAGAGCCATTGCATAAGGTTAAGATTTTTAAATTATTAAATTATTAGTCATTGATTATGTAATTATGGTCATTGTTATGCAGTCATTAAGCAGGTCATCACGTGAGTGCATTTTTACAACCTTGATTAAAGAATGTTGCAGTTATTAAGCAAGCACAGCGGTTGTTAAACAAATCCATTATACCCAATGGACGTTTTTTTCCGGAAACCAGAAGTAAATGCTGGAAATCAGCAAAATATGCTGAAAATTGTGGGTCATAGGAAGCTTCAAAGCACCCACAATGCGATCATGTGACCATAAAGATGTGTAGCTATCAGAACTTTGTAATCGGGTCATAAGTACCATTTTGGAGGACCATCTTAACTGAGTGTTCCCTACATGACCAGTTGTTAAGCAAGGACTACCTATCTTACTGACTTATTATCAATATTTTATCTCCTTATCAAATCTATAGGCTCCCTTCTAACACAGTTCTCAACATGACTAACAGAAATGTCCATTCTCCAACAGAACAAAAACAATACAAATTTTGAATGGAAGAGATGAAGAATAAGGAAAAGTGAAAAAGAAATAAAGCAAAAGAAATAGAGAGAGAAAAATTAGTAAGAAGTGGCTTCCAATCTTCTTAGCAGCAGCTACATTTATATTTTACCCTCTCTCTCTAAGGTTACATCATAATGTCCTTGTTTCCATAAGCAACCCTTAAGCAAAAAGTCCATAAGGGGTTTCCAGTCACTAAGAGCACAGTTGCTTTTAACATAATTTTTATTAAAATTTTTGAATAAGAAGATAAAAATTAAGGCAAACTAATATAAAACAAGGAAGAAAAAAGAAAAAGCAAAGAGAAAGCAGAAAGTGCAAAAAAAGATAGAAATATAAGTATAAATATATTTTAACCTCCCTCTCTAAAGTTACTTCATATTGCTTTTCTTTTATAATCTACCCTGTCTAATCATCAAAACCACAGATCACAAGTTCATTTTTATGCAAAAAGGCTTCAGCTTTCTCTAAACAAGCAAGTTAATTTTGCCATCTTTGCTAGTTCTGTCATTTTCATTTCTCTTGCAAACCTGATGAATATACATTTCTGCCCACAACTCTTCTAACAGTAAGAATAACACCTCCCTCTTAGAGTTAATAGCTCTTGGACAGTTTTCCATGGAGTAAACCCAGTTTTCCATGGAGTAAACATGAGCCGCATCCCATTCTTGCCATGCTGCATACCTTACGCTAATTCTAGGATATCCTAGATATTTTTATCTTAGAGCAGACATTTAGACCAGGGTGTCCAATCTTAGCAACTTTAAGACTCATGGACTTCAACTCCTAGAATTCCTCAGCCAACCACTTGTGGAATTGAAGCCCACAAGTCTTAAAGTTGTCAAGATTGGACACCCCTGATTTAGACTATGAAGCGCTCAATTCACGCAACATGTACCATTTATTTAACACATTATCATTTATGTCATGTCTTATTCCCACGGAAGGACATATGACTGTCAAGCCATTTTCCTATATCAATTTCACATCAACCCAGTAAAGTGCTCTGGGTTCAGAGTTTAAGATGGCTGTGCAGTGAATGAATTGTGTGGCTGAATGGAAATTTCAGCCCAGATTTGCCCAATTATATTCCAGCTTGTTACTCTTCTGAAGTGTTGGCTGGAAATTCTGAGGACTGAAAAGGACTATATCTGGACTAGCCCAGCAGGGAAAGCAGACCAGGCCAATACACTAACAAAGCATTTCTATACATTAAGGTGATGCTGCTTGTACAGAAATTTACAAAAGGCACCCCTGGCTGTGACTCTTCATTTTAGACACCTTCATAGGGAGAGGGTGATCCAGAAGGGTAATGCCACACTTCTACCTTGTTGCTTTAAGACAGGTCCAGGTCCAGATGTATCTTTCTGGATTAGAGTTTTGGAAATTGTGACACAACACATCTGGAAGATGCTAGGTGCAGGGAGGCTCTCTCAGGGTTATGGCCACCAAAAATGATTCTCACTGAACTCTGGAGGAAACCCATTGCAAAGGCAAGTCGCTGGGATGATCTTTAGGGCACATCTTGGCCCTGAACAGCTGGAGCTTAAGCCTGCCGGTTGGGATCTCGGAGGCGTCCTTTGCCAGGGCAACCCTGATAGGTCACCGACCCCATTTGGGGGCTGCTCCTGAGGGCAGATCCCACTTCCTGCCCCCTCCACTCCCTTGCTGCGACCTACCAGCTTCGCCAGGATCCGGCGACTCTGCTCGTCCGTGCATCGCCCCGAGAAGACGCCCCCGTGCGCCAGGAAGAAGAAGGCGAAGAGGCCGCCCCCTACTGCCCAACACACGCCCCAGAAGAGGCACTGCGCGGCGGAGCATCGCCGGCAGCCCAGCCTGGCTCTCAGCAGCCGCTTCAGCCGGGGCATCCTTCGCACCGACGGCCGCTGAGCTTCCCGCTTTAGCCAGCGCCTCGGCAGCAGCAGCAGCAGCAGCAGCCGCCGGCGGCATCCATCCTTGACCTCGGTTGAATTCCGATCCGCTTTCGAAGGCGTCCCCCGGATCAGCCGGAGCAAAAGCCAAAGTCTGCAGCTCGGCTCCCTTCAACGCACGTCCAACGCAGCCGGAGCCGCGGACCGGCAGACTCTCCCTCCTTTCCCGGGCGAGCGAGCGAGCGAGTGCCCGCCAGCCCCGAGGTCCCGCGCCCCAGGCCGTCTGCGGCTCTCCCACGGCTGCAGGCGCCCACGACGCGCAGTGCCGGCGAGCCGCCGCGGTGGGGGACTGGGCGCTCGGGGGGAAAGCGCAGCCTTCTCGAGCCCCGGCCACGTAGTTCCGTCTTCTTCTTCTTCTTCTTCTTCTTCTTCTTCTTCTTCTTCTTCTTCTTCTTCTTCTTCTTCTTCTTCCTTCTTCTTCTTCTTCTTCTTCTTCTTCTTCTTCTTCTTCTTCTTCTTCTTCTTCTTCTTCTTCTTCTTCTCCTTCTCCTTCTTCTTCTCCTCCTCCTCTTCCTCCTCCTTCTCCTTCTCTTTCTTCTTCTCCTCCTCCTCCTCCTCCTTCCTCCTCCTCCTTCTTCCTCCTTCCTCTTTCTTCTTTTTTTGTCTGCCACGGCTCTAAGACGGGTTTTCTTCGGCGGCTCCTCTCGCCCGACAAAGTTTTCACGTGCCGGGGGTGGGGGAGTTGGCCTCTGGAAATTCTAGACAGGCTGAGTGACACCTAGAACTTATTTGAATATCCCTAGAATAATGGGACTATCAAATTAGATACACGACAAATGAGTTAAACTGGTTCTTCTTCAGACATAGCTGTTACTATTACATGTAGAATGCTAGCTTGGTGTAAGTGATTAAAGCACCACAATAGAAACTCAGAGATTCAGAGTTCTAGTCTCCCCTTAGGAACAAAGCTAGCAGGATGACTTTGGGCTAGTCACTGTCTCTCAGCTCTAGGAATAAGGTGGCAACGGTAAAGTACTTCTGCAATCTTGCCAAGAAAATTGCAGGGACTAGTCCAGGTAGTTCCCAAGAGGGAAGACTAAAACTCAAAGGTGCGCACATGCACGTACAAACACACATTATAATATTTAGTATAACAACTACTTGTATAAGATCATCTGGGAGCCACATTGGGGCCATAGATTGCCTACCCTAATAACAGGAGTCACAGTGTCACAGTTGTCACCATATATCTCTATGAGTCTTCTGATTATTATTATTTTTTTACCTCCTCTCTTTATGGGCTCACTAATTTTACTTTTCTGTTATCTAGTATTATTTAGTATTCCTGCAACCCAAATGCAATCCAGATATTCCTCCACTTATGATCACATTTCCACTGCTGAGCAAGACATTTAAGTAAATTTTGCCCCATTTTATGATCTTTCTTGCCACGCTGGTTAAGTGAATTACTGCACTTGTTAAGTTAGTAACACAGCTGTTAATCTGTGAATCTGGCTTTCCCACTGACTTTGCTTCTCAGAAGATCACAAAAGGTGATCACATGATCCAGGGACACTGCAATCATCATAGGTACATGCCAGTTGCCAAGTGTCTGACTTTTGATCATATGACCATGGGGATGCTGCAAGAATCATAAGTGTGAAAAAACGGTCATAAGTTACTTTTTTTCAGTGCTGTTGTAACTTTGAACCATCACTAAATAACGGGTTGTAAGTTAAGGACTACCTGTAGCCCTATTGATGGGACTCACAAAGTGGGATGTAAAGTTAAAAGCTCAGTACCCTCTGCCTTAATAGTACATTTTTCTACTCTCTCTGGACTAACCTATTCAAGCTATTGGGGAAATTGTCATCCATAAGAGGCTGTTTCTGCCTTACTGCCAGGAGTGAGTTAAAATAGATTTTTTTTCAAGCCTTTCAAAACCAACTTTGCTGAAGGTAAACAGGAAAAAGTCCACAGGCTAAATCAAACAAAACTCAATAACTGCAGGTAAGATGAATGCATTTTAGCAGAGATGAACAGATCGGATCATGAGGACAGGGCCTTGTCCCCGGATTGCATCCGATTTCAGGGCATTTTTTTTTTCCTCCCTCACTTTTTGTCAATTGAAATTAATGGGGCAGTAAATAGGAGAGTGAAGAAACTCCAAATGCTAAAATCACTCTTGGGAAGCTATTTCAGCTTACTGCCTTGAAGGAAAATTATTGATCCGTCTCATCATTCAAATGCTGAACCATCATTTAGATGGAGTTTCCTCCAGGAAGACAGCTGACCAAGGCCAGGACTATTAAAACCCAATCACGACTAGAGATGGCAATAAAACAGAAACAGAAAACACTCCTTTTGTATTGCCGTCAAGCACTCCTCTGAATTTTTACAGATCAGATCCCTCAGACCTTTCACTTGGGGTAGTGGACATCAGGAGAAAAAGAGAAACAGAGAGAAAAATAAGGAAAAAATATACAACATTTTAAAGACAGACAATAGATGCCCACTCTCACACAGCTGAAACCCACCACCACAAACTTGGAGTCCCCAAGTAGATCAACCAGATCCAAGCACTTTATTTATATAGCATAAACTAAACATAAACTAAAACAAAACACATTTTTAAAGGTTTTTAGAGGCTTTTCTGAATGCAGATGAATCCATTTGTGCTGGTGTCAGAATTCCCTTGCTGCAGGAATGGAACCTGCTAAAATCTATGTTGTGCACTTAAGTATTCTACAACTGTCCCTTATGTCTAAGAATCATGGGGGGGGGAGGGAAGCAGGGGGATGAAACCTAAAGAGTAAAAACTGTTATGGATGAGGCAAAAGACTTGGCAGGAGGAACAGAAAACAAAAGCTCCACTATTCACCCTCCATATGCCCTGGAGGCTGAAGCGGTCCTATAAATGACTCTTCTCTATTCCCTTCCCCATGGGTAGGGTCTTTTACTAACCTCTTCACCTCCTTTCATTCCTTGTTTTCATTTGCAGTCAGCATGCTTACTCAGCACCAAAGACTTTCCATCATATTCCTTAACAGAATAACCTTTAAGGGGGTGAATGAAATAAAAATGCAAATGTTATAAAATCAATGCAAATCAATACAAGAACAGATACCTGGGGGGGGGGCGGGGAGAGTTCTTTTACCAAACTTTAGCTATATCAGAATGGGGATACACGTGTCATGTGCTGATCAGGATTTTTTTCCCCTCTTTTCAGGTTTTTTTTTTTTTCACTTTCTGATTTTTTTCCCTCTCCTCTCCTGCCCCTTTTTCTTGCTTCCTTCCTGCTTAGTGCACAGTCAGACCAGACAAATCACCCTTGACAGGAGTTTGAAGTAACTTCAGAAACTTCTGAAATTTGGGCTCACAAGACCTTAGCCAGAGAGCCACAGGCTAGTTGTACTACACAAAATCCAATTGTTAATGTGATTCAGAAAATCAATTCAGCTTAGACTTAAAACTGAATTGTTGAATTAGGTTGGTTCAATTCAAATTTCCAAATCCACTCAGGAAAGCTGCCTCTTTGCATGTGCCACTCAATTCAGAGGTGTCTGATTCAAACTAGCTACTCAGCTGGATTGACTAGTCAATTAACTTCAGAGATGTGACTGATTCATCTTTGAAAAGAATGAATTGAAAATTTGCCTAACTTTACTTTTCTTTTTTCTTCTGTTCAATTGTGTCTAATTTTCAGAGGCTGCCTGTACAAGTCCCTGAAGTTTTCTTGACAAGGTTTTCAGAAGTGATTTGCCATTTCTTCCTTCCTAGGGCTGAGAAAAAGTGACTAGCCCAAGATCACCCAGTTTCCTTTTTGCCTAAGGCAAGGCTACAGTCCACGGTCTTCCAGTTCCTAGTCTGATGCCTCAATCACTACACGAAAACTGACTCTTGTCCAACTCTTTTGCCCACAGCTAATCTACACCAATCAAGCTGGTCTTAGAATCACAGGCATTCCTGAGAAATCTAGTGTATATTGTCCATATTCATTCCACATCTTATCCCTTCACATTCTCATGCAAATAAACTCTTGTAGTATGTTCGCAATATTTCTTCAGCCAAAATGCTATAGATACTACTCAAATCATTTTTCATTACTGTATCTAAATCTGTTGAATGGTATAATCTATCGAATGTTATGTGCAATCTACCTTCTCTTAAGGGAGATATACAGATATAGTGTCCCCTCAAGTGTGAGGATTTACATGACTTCTATTACCATCCCTTCTCTATTTTTACAGTGTATACATGCTGCCTCCTGGTGGTAGTTCATTGTTTGAAGCAATCCCTCCTTCTACACACACTGTATAATTTCTCCTTACATATTGAATTCATGATTTGTTGTATATGCCACAGTTTATATAGCAAACTAAGCCAAAACCAAACCACTTTATGGTCCAGAACAACATGAATCTAGGAGACATGTAGTTTTTGAATTCCATTCTTCAAAGCTGTCTTTGTCTTCCTGATCAAAGAAGTAGTCTTTTATATTAGCTTGCTCTTCAATTTTGCTGCTTGGCACACATCCTTGTGGCCAAAATGACAGCTGGCATGACAGTAAAGCAGAAATTTGTCATACAAATTAAAAATATCTACTCTCCATCTGTTTTCTGACTGTGTTGTGTTGCACAGTCAACAATCAGTTGCTAATGAAATTGAGATTGTCAGAATTTTAAAAATTAATGGCCTTTTGGGGGGGGGACACTCTCTAAAAAATGGCCTTTTCCTGAAATGTAACAATTAGCTCATGCAACAAGGCAGCTGGCATTTGGAATGAGAACAGTTAGGTCAGTTGATCTAACTGTTCAAAATGCTATATATGCGGGTCTTTAAAAATTTGTTCTTTCTCTTAACTTGTATTTGGAATATATTAACCTTTTCCCACACCTAGAGGAAATATATACAACTTTTACAAATGCACTGGGAGGCAGCTTTTGATGCATTTTACCATCTAAATATTTCTGATTTCTCACAGCCAAATTGAAACATCATAAGGCTGACAACTGCTTGAACATACCACCTGTGTACTACAAGCTCTATCTTTATTGTGCTAATTTGCCTTCTTCCTGAATAAGAATCATTTTCTAGCAATACTGCAAATCAAGAATTTATAGCTATTAGTAATAATGGTGGTGATAGCATTCCTAAATGTTGCCTGTTTGTGCAGAGCTTTCTAAAAATAATTTCAGTTGTAATAAACCTAGGTATCTTCTTCATTCTCGGATTCAGAAGTTGGAGAATTTTCAAATGTGTATTTTACTGAACAATCCATGTAAGCAATGTAACCTCTAAAATCAATATAAAATACACACCTGAATAACTTTGGAATAGGGGATAAATGTGATCATTAGAATGTTTGGAAAAGCAGAATGTTTGGGTTACTAAATGAACTGAATGGGAACAGATTATTGAAGGCTGAGTGAGGATGGTATTAAAAGCCATCTTCACTACACAACAGAATGACCTTTCGAGTATTTAGGTT